CCTCTTCGGAGCCGCTCCTGGCCCCTTCCTCAATAGCAGGTCTCCTGTCAGTCTGTCCCTCTAGGCAGGGCGCCTGCTGGCTGCATTCACCTCTGACGTGGACCCCTTTTGGCCCAAGTTATCCCGGTCTCTCCCTGGGTCACGGATTCCACACAGCTTGCGGTTCTCTCTGCCTCAGTTTTCCTCTCTCAAGCCTCCTGTGCCCTTTGCCCCAGCCCTTCCCTTTCCCCCTTGAAGTCTGCCTCCTAACACCAGAGTAAGAGGCCTGAAGAAGGAGAGGTGGGAGGTAGTGGGAACAAGTGCATGATTGGAAGATGGCCTTTTTGCATCCTTTAGGGGCAGAAAGGACTGGGCTGTCCATTCAGGGGCTTCAGACAGCTCCTGTCTGGAAGTCCTGAGACTGCTAGAGAGATGTGAGTCTGTTAGCCATGGGATGGGAAGGGGACAGTAGCTGAAGAACCAGAGCAGCCCCACCCTAAGCTCCCTGAATTTCTGAAGACAGTGTCCTAGGAAGACAGAAAGCAAGACAAGGCATTTCATGTTTTGTGTGGGACCCGACTCTACTGTTTCCTCTTCCTTTTCTGTCCCTTGCTTATCTGTGTTCTGGCCCCCAGCATACGGAGTCTAGCGTTTACCCACGCGCAGTTAGGGAAGACCGTTCCTGCAGAGAAACAGCAAGGGTAAAACCCCCCTGCGAGTACAGCCGGGAAACTGGGGAAGGGAATGAGCGGTGGCTTCTAAAGAGGTCACAGGAAGTTGATCACGATCGTGTAGGGGCTGATGAGTTATAGCAAAACTTCCACCTACACTCTGAATAAACGGGAAGCCACTGAAGAGTCAAGGCCCAAGAGTGACATTCATATTTCCCTTGAATACTCGATGCTGCTGTGTAGATGATGCAGTGGGAACCAAGGACAGAAGGAAGATGTCCAAGAGAGCACTGTAGCCGCAAGGAGGGATGGTGGGGCCTGGGCCAGGAAGGCTGCAATGGACGCGGGAAGCATGGTCTGGATGAATTTATCAGAGGGAAGAGTGGAAGCAACACAGTCAAGGATAAACTAAGAGGGTTTTGTTTTGTTTTATATCAGTGATCAGAACAGGAATTTGCCATTACCTGGTATCATGGAATACCAAGGAGCTGGCTTCAGGGGACATGCTTTGAATACATTAGGTGTGAGATGCCTGCTAAATATCCAAGTAGAGGAGCCTGGTGGGTCTTAGTTTCCCGAGAAGACCAGGTGGGCAGGAGTTAGAGACTTAGGAGTCTTCAGTGATGGGATGAGATCCTTCAGAGGGTAGAAGCAGATGGAAGCCTCAGGTGACAAGAGGAAGGCACTTGAGCACTGCAACAGAATGAAAAACAATTCTGGGGAGGATTTGGGGAAGGGATATGGGGTTGGGACTCTTGACTTTGTCATTCTCATCCTGAGCAACCCTTGTTGGTCCTTATCTAGGTGGTCCTGGCTACTTGCCGGCTCTACTTCATTCCCTCGGTAACTCCACACAACAGCCACATTGGTCACCCTGTGCCACTCTTGACCAGGGCCTGCAAGGATTTATAAGGTCAACATTCTGGCCCCAGAAAAACACTGGAGATCACTAGGGTCTGAAATCCTGACTCATCTTTACCGCTTTGCCCACAGGGAAACCGAGGCCTTGAGAAGCAGCTTGCTCAGGGACTCAGCCAGCAAGTGACCAGGGCTCCTGGAGCAGAATTGAGTGTTCTTTTGATGCAGGCAGCAGAGGGTGTCTGAGCACAGGACTATGTCCATCCTCGACAGTGAGGCTCGAAGGAGACAATGGAAGTTCTTACGCTTCAGAAATTCTCACAAAGGAGTCACCTGCTCTTTCTTTTCCCAACTCTTCACTTAATCTTGGTGACTTCCCATCATGAACTCTCCCCTCTACCCTAGTCCTTTCAGTCCTCCAAACCTTACTCTGACCTGGTCTTTCAGAGCCAGTCCTCTTGGATCACTGAGCCTGTTAGGTGACTCAGGCTCCGAACCCAACAGCCAGTCATCTTCTTCCTTACTCTTGGGTTCTGAATACCCAGGCCAGTAGGTAAGTCTTCAGCCCTATTATCAAATGTGACATAGCTCTGAGTTGTGCTCTTCACTGTCTCCAGCGGAAGAATTTCAGTTGAAGCCACATTTGCTCTTCTGTGTTGTGACTGCGGCAAGCCCCTAACTGATCTCCCTTGCTGGTCCCATTCTGCAGGAGTCACTCTCACCCAACCTGAGTCTGTATGTTCCTTATTTTTCCTCCCGTGTTCTTCAACCAGTCCTCTCTCCTGTGCTCACCCTGTTAGGTGCAGCCTGTCTTCACTGTTACAGCCTCTGGGTTACAGGGCCCTGGAGGAAAGTGACTTGATTTTATCTACAGGAAGTGTCTGTCAGAAGACCCCTTTTGTGGGAGGCCATCTGACTGAGAGTTGAGTGGCATCTTGGAGGGGGTCCTGATAAAGAAGTCAAAGATTGGGGTATAGCTCAGTGATAGAGTACTTGTCTAGCATGCCTAAGTTCCTGGGTTCCATTTCAGCCCTGGGGGTGGGGTAAGCAAGCTAGAACGTGCCCCTGGAATAGTGGGGGCACATCCAGGACTTTCTATCTTGTCTGTTTCCTTGTGTTCAGAGTTCTCCCCTCCTAATCTCACTGCTCCTAATCCTGTCTGCCTTTTGATACAAGGATGGATCTCATCAGGTTGAGAGATTCTTCAGTCAAATTAGCCCCTTGTTCTGCAGAGCTGGGAAGCAGGGCTTAGACAACCAGCTGAGAACAGACCTGTTTTCTCAGCCTGGCCACCCAGACCTA